TTATGAGAGGAAGCCGGAGAACCTGGAGAGAACCCTCGCTGCACGGGGAGAACATGCAAACTCCATGCAGAAAGACCCCGGCGACCCTCTTGCTGTGAGGCATCGGTACTAACCACCAATCCACCTTGCAGCCATTATTATTATTATTATTATTATTATTATTATTATTATTATATGGCAAAATAATATAACAGAGAATAACTCTGGCTGTGTTTATGTTTCCCTTTAATGATGAGCCTGGTAAGGCCGATGTGTCATCCAGCAGTGTGTTGTTGTCTGGCTTAGACCGTATGGCAGACATTAAAGTTGACCAGGGATAAGAATTAATCCACTTACTGTCAGTCATTGTGATGAGTCATTAGATGGCTGGAGATGCTGAGAATACCCGGTACAGTAGCAACACTGATTGGAACACCAGGGAGTGCGGAACGATGGTGTGTTTCACAGTTGAATGATAAATGGTTGCAAAAACAGTGGGTGATATTGAAGTTTTGGAGCAGAAAGACATTAAAGGCCCCATTTAAACATTATAAGCGACAACCTCTTGGTTTAAAATATGAAGCCAAGGCCAAAGTACCAAACACTGCAGTTCCTCGAATAGCCACTTTAGGTTAACTCCAGATCAAATCAATTCCCATCAACCCCGATGTTAAAATGTCAACCTTTACAACAGAAATGTTAACAGGCAATACAAAAAACAGTTTTAGCCTCAATAGCTACCTTACCAGTTGTGTATTAGTTAATTTTTGCTGATTCATTATTCATTAGATTTTAATGATATAATGTATAGGACAATGAGAGGGTTAATTTTTGTGTGGTGAGTGTTTATACTTCTAATACATTGATACATTTTCTTTGTGTAATGAAATACTTTGACTGAATACTACCTTCTTTGTTCATCTGGTGTAGCTGAAGGTTGCTAATGTTAACTAACAGGGAAATGTAGCTGTAACTGACATCATTGTGTAGCAGTTCTCCTCTGGTTGTTGTCACTTGGAGCTACTGTGGCTGCTGCTCAGTAAAACCTAAGTAACCTCTTTCCTGCACTGGAAAAAATAGATATGCCCTTTTACCCCTTCCTAATGTTTTAATTTTTCAGTAGTTGATACACACACACACACACACACACACACACACACACACAATAAAGAGAAAATCAGATGAATATGTAGTATGCACTATAACACTGACTTGTGTGTGTGTGTGTCTGCTCTTTTCTAGCTATGAGTGTGACTGTGAAGGGACAGGGTTTGTAGGTGACCATTGTCAAGAGGATGTTCCTGAATGTGCTTCTGACCCCTGCCAGCATGGAGCCACATGCTTGGAGGGAATCAACCAGTACACATGCCTCTGCTGGCCAGGTATGCTGCGGTTCCGCATTAAATTTGTTATAAGCCAACTGCTATCACAGATCAAGGGCTCTACTTGGTCACTGAGCTGAAATCATAAAATTAAATGCATGTTTAAATGAAGGGGGGAAAAAAAACATCCAAAAAACTATGTTTTGCACACATGAAGAATGTGTCCTTGAGGTTTGAGGTTTCCGCATATAAATCAAACTGAAGATGTAAATAATCTGACCATTGTGTTTGGAGGACTAAACAGGGGTAAGAGCAGGAATCTCAGTCACCATTTATAGTCAAAATTGTATAAAAACTAGTTAAATTCTTTAAGGCTGTAATGATCTATAACAACTGATAGATAAGCATGAGGGAAAGATGCAGACGTGTACAGTCTTCTGTGATTTTTGTCGTTATAGTTGTGTTTGTGAATGAGTGTGTGCAGGTCCTAAGAGGATGCAAAATTCATCTCACATTTAATTTGTTGATGTTCTCTGGAAACTATACGATTAGACCCTTGTGTGACTCGTGGAAAAATCTACTGAATCTTGTTTGAACGGACAACTTTTTTCAATGGAAGGCAGCTAAAACCAGCAGCACAAAAAAAATAAAGTAGAAAATAAAGCAGAAATGCCTAATACACGATGCGACTCTGCCTGTTCTATCTCCTAGTTTTGTCCGACGTAACACACATAACTGACACAGAATGCAGCCAGATACAGAATGTCCATCAAGAGCCATGACACAGGGGCTTGTTGTAACACATGCATCAGTGACAGTGATTTTTACAGACTGTTTTTCCTGCCTTTTTAGATCTGTGACTGGTCAACTGAGCATGTGGAGGAAACAGAGTGGCCAAAAACTTTGGCATGCATTCTTGAGCTGTTCTTTTCTGGTTGACATTAAAGGCCACTTCATGGTTTTCACATGACCAATGCAGCCTTTGAAAGTGGACAGTGGATGCCCATCCTGTTCTAGTCATACTACAATAAGTACATGTTAGTCTGCTATGCAGTCAGTTGAATTGTCCCTCATGTTGAACACTGAAAAGCTGGCTGTGCTTTGCACTTTTTACAAGACATAGCAGCTAGTCATAGAATGAATTATCAGTGATTATTCCTGAAGTGTGTCGAGCTCAGTGTGTTGAAATAGCACATGGTTTCTGGAGAATTTAGAACTTCCCATTGTCTCTGGGCACTGTCCATGGTATGCATGGACAAAGCTCCTACAAAGTCTGACAATGATTGCTTCAATTACAGCTGTTAATGATTAATTATAAAGGTGGGGATGATGGAGAATCTTCTAGTAAAGAATCTCTTGATAACAAGCATTTGTTTTAAGCAAGTCGAATCAAATCAAATCAAATTTTTTTTATGTAGCACTTTTCATACACTACAGCAATACAAAGTGCTTTACAGCATTTAAAAACATTACAACATTCAAGAATATTAAAAAAGGAAACCCTTCCTTCCCACCCTCCATGCATACACATATAGCACATGCAGTCACACACACGCGCGCACAGATACACACACACACACACACACACACACACACCACTAGACTAAAGGAAGCATGGCATGGCACTGAGGGATTGTGGGAAACGCGACCATTGGGGCCGTCCACACCGGGAAGCAGTCGCAGGTGCCCTCACTGGGATGCGAACCGGCGACCTTCTTGCTGTGAGGCAACAGTGCTATCAACTGTGCCACCTTGCAGCCCACATGCAAGACAAATGCTGTAAAATGCTTTTATTTGCAGACCTTTTCCACTGTTCCATTCTAAATAATGGTTTGAATTTAGTTTTGTGAACCAGAACAGAAGCTTTTCTGCCCTGGTGCAAATGCTCCACATGTGTATTTTGTGGAAAATCTGCCCTAGAAGTACCAAGTTTTATATTAAAAAAAAAAAAAAAAGCTGTTCATCTGTTGCTAATATAACGATATGAGATGGATAAAATAGGCACCTTTCCAAGTCATATTGACTTTGCAATGAAATTTGCTCTTTCATTTCTTCTATTTTCTCTCCAGCTGCCATAGAAAGATAAAATCAGATTGTTACATATTGACAGAACTGGCTTGTTCAGATGAAATGTGAATTTTTGTGTTGGTGTATACAGTTTGTGTGAGAATGTCAAAGATCACTTTATGACCTGTATGGACAAAAGGAAAGATTACAGCAACCAATAACTCTTTTAACATGCCAAAACCCACCTGGTTAAATAAAGGAAAAAAATAAAATAAAATAAAAATTCAAGGCATGTAATATTGGGATATGTGTGTGTCTTCCAGGTTACGAGGGAGAGAACTGCCAAATAGATATAGATGAGTGTGAGCAGCATCCCTGTGACAATGGGGGTGAGTGTTTCCAGCGCTCAAATGTCCTGAATTATGGGATGCTTCCTGAACTCAGCACAGCTAATTTCAGCTATGAAGTGGCTGCTGGTTTCATCTGCCACTGTCTACAAGGATTCATTGGTGAGCCAGATTTACATTTAAAAGCTTTGAGATTCGTGGTACATTTACTCATTAACTCAAATCAGCTGAAGTGCACCTCGACCAAATCTCATTAATATGTTCTTCTTACAGGAGACAACTGCTCAGTCAATGTAGACGAGTGTGAGTCTGCTCCGTGTCAGCATGGAGGAAGCTGCCAGGATCTGGTCAACTCTTATCAATGTGTTTGTCCAGATGGCTTCACAGGTAGGAGAAACCTCTTATCGGCTCTTCTAATCTTATCTCCTAACAAAACATCTTTTCTGAGCTGCTCTTCCTCTGGATGCACCAAGGACAGGCGCTGTCACACATTACACTTGCTGCCTGGACCTGTGATCTGTGAGCTTGTACAGCTGTCACACCGATTACTGAAGCTGAACATGAGTACAACTGAACACATGGCTAGAGTTCAGAACTTTATACCAGGCTGAAAGATGTTCAAAGTGACAGAATTGGTAGATGGTGTTATTTTACACAGACTTCACAGTTAGTCTTACAATTAGTGACCAGTTCACGAGTTTGTTGATTCAGCAAGCTAATGTGCAGGACAGGAATTAATTGGGCAACATGGCAGAGAGAGGGCTATTAAAACAACTGGTGGTGGGCAGTAGCCTGGCAATGTACATAACTATTTAAAAAAGCACTGTACAGTGGTTTAGTGGAATCAACTCATCTTTTCAAATTAACTTAACGCAAATTTTAAACTGTTATCTATTTAAAGACCGTTTAAGATAAAGTACATACCTTATTATTTCCAGACCACATAGCTGAGATTGCCTGATGATGTCCCCATCACAGTTAGGAAAAAATATGTTTATTTCCAGCATTTTATGGTGAGATGGATGTAAAAAAAAAACAACAAATTCATGATACAATGTAATCCTCTTTTGGTATAATGACTAATATGACCTGTAACAATTATTATATCAACTGATGCAAGACCTGTGTAGCCTAGACTGTGATGGAAAAAATAACTAAATAGTGAAGTTACCCTGAAAATAGCCAAGAGTTCACAGGGTTAAACTGACTAGATTTACATGGTTAAACAACTAGAAAAAAAAAAAATATTAATGAAATTTTCTTAATTTTATTAATGAATTTTACTCGAAAACAACAAGGTATGTTTTCCCTAAATTCCATGCACAGTTAACAAGGCCGATTCCAATAATCTTAGTAAACATTTTTACACTCTTGAATCACCTTTATCTCCATTTAATTGTAATGCTATTGCATTAAATTAGAATGCAGTCCATTTACATTCACCTCTGAAATCCTTATTAGGTCACAAGACAACTCTGTTTTACCTCCACAAAACACAAGTACTCTTAACAATGTTACAGAACTTTGACCTTTCCGTTACCCCTTGTGTTTTCACTGGTTTTGCTTGCCAAGTGGTGTAAAGATCCTCCATTTGGGGGACCATAGTAATTTGATCTGAACTGAGTTGAACATCCTCAGTGGAAACCAGGGTAGACAGACAACCTACACGCCAGGCCTTCGAATCTTCTTGGCCAAACAATAAAGGGTTAATCCTGCTCCTGCTGATCATTCCTCATGGCCAGCCAAGGTATTAATTCCTCATTAGAGGAGATTTGTCACAGCATAACTAAAAACAGAGAGATCCACACCAAAAGCTGACCTTGAAAAACAAAAATCTGGACTCAGAAGTGAGGAATTCAGCCAAAAGCTCTCATCAGCAAATGAGAAGCTTATTTGCTATCAGCATTATGAGGATGAGACGTGGAAGTTGCAGCAGAGCAGAGGAGAGGAAGGGATGAGAGGGCATATGGTATGGAGGAACATAGCAGAAAATAACAAAGCCAATAAAAGGTGCCATATGTCAGGCGTCCATCTTGGGCATTAAACAGGGGTCTCCTAAGAAATTTGTAAAGGGAAGAGAAGATTATAGCAAAGCTGCTTACAGAAGCCTAAACAAAGCCTGATGAAAAAAGTCAATACAAAAAACTGTTTGAGCAAAACAAGGACTTTTATATACTGATCTGTATAAAACTGCTCTGGTTCACGCCACTGTAAAAATGGCAAAGAACAGGCAAAGAAAGGGGAAACTCCATATAGCACAAAATATTATCCTGTTAACTTTGTTCAGCATGTCACATGTGATCAGGTGGTTACAGCTCAAACAAGCTGTTAATGCAATAGAACTTAAGCCAAGCTGTGCCCATGTCATTTTACTTGGGTCATATTAATAGTGTGGGAAGCTTTAGTTTGACTAAGTTTTTAAAGGTTGATTTAAAAAAAAAAAAAGGTTTTGGGTAAAACAGATGTGTGTTTTAGGTTTATTAATTTACATGTCCATAAGCATGAGCAAAAGTTGCACACATTTCTAACTGGATTCAGTAAATTACAGCTCACATGACAAAAAAGAAACATCTTCATTTACTGTATATCCAGATTTTTTTCTTTTTCATTCCGAAGTATCAACACTACAACTTCTGATGCATTTACTGCAACATTTAGTGTAAGTACCATTGGCCTTTAAAATAGAATCAGATTACCTCAGTACACTTGAATACAGTTTTTCAAGGTGCTTAGCAGATAGACTATTTCAAGAATCTTGGAGAAATTGCTGCAATTATTTTATAGATTTAGTCTTTTTCAGTGTCTTCTCTCTGTTCATGTAATCCTTGGCTGACTGACTGGCTGTGTGGGGGCCAGACCATCTGTTGCAGGGCTGCTTGTTCGTCTTTGTTGAAGAAAAAGTATATTGTTTAGTCATTCATGACTCTGGCTGAATATTTGGAATTCGAGTGCTGACACTATGAAAGGCAATGGTGTTTGGGATAAATTAGAATTAGTCAAATAAATAAAACACCTTATTTCTCCACATCTGACAAGCATATACCACAACAAAAATGAATTAATATAAAGTTAAACTACATTTTTTAAATATTCAGAATATGAATTCTGAGGTTTATATACTTTAATATATAAATATATCAAAACAAAAATCATATATCAGTCTTTTTTGTGTCAAAGTCAAAGTCAGACTAAGAATTTGGGTTTATTTGCTCATAGGTTTAAAAATAATTTCAGAACATTCAAGTAAATGAGTTTTTTCACAAGCAACAGAAAAATGTGATAATCAAACATTTGCAAAACTCATTTGAAAAATGAATATCAACTCCATGTGTAAATCCTGCCCTGTTCCGACCTGGCCCAACTGAAGCTTTGAACCTGCAGCACCTCCTGCTGGCTCTTTACTGCTAGTGGGCCTCCACAAGTCAGCACACAGAGCAGGGAGGGGACTGCAGCACTACATTCCTCTTGTCAAACACTGACAGGAGCCAGCTGGAGGCTGGAGGCTTACCGCTCTGATAGGGCTGAGCTGCAGACGGAAGAGGAGCAGGGGGTGTGAGGGAGGGAGGGATGAATTCAGGGAGGGATGGAGGAGGGAGAGAGAAGAAGGAAAAAAAGGAGAACAGGACTGCTTCATAATCACTTCTGCCTGTCTGCCTGGTACAGAGAGGAGGACTACTTCTGCTTTGTAAACTAAAGAGAAAGAGAGAGAAAGAGTGAGGGAGAGAGAAAGAGAGAAGGGGGACCTTGTTGTGTCATCCCACTGTGAGGAGTGTGTTGGCAGTCACCTCAGTGGATCATGGGAGGAAGCAGGTTGATGCTGCTGCTACTCTGCTGCTGCTGTGGACTCTGGTGGCTGACAGGTACAGTATGGTACAGCACTTTTTAATGTTACATTTCAATGGAAGAAAGTTCCGTGCTCGTGTATGAGGGTGGAGTCTTGGCACACACAGGACAAACAGCTTTAGGGTTCCTTGGGTGTCGTGTATTTTAAAGGACTATGTTAATGCAAGCTGACTGCTGCTGCCACGGCTTAATCTTGAATGCGGTTTGATGAGGCGACTTTGACCACCAGGTAGAAAGACTGTATTTCCTGCACAAAGTGTGTACGTGGTACAAGGTTGTCTGACATGCATACAGTGCAGTATGTCATCGCCTAGCTGATACAATCAGCAGGAAAAACACTGATTTAATTGTGTTAAGGGGGACAACAAATCTTATTGATGTGTAATTGTTCGATTAACAGCTATTTCCTCAAGTCATTTCCTCCTTCAGACTTTGCCCTAAAACGCTCTGTTAATCTGTCTCTGAGTGCACACTTAGCTCTGTATCTAAATAAGTCTTTAAATGTTTTTGACTTTCCAGGCTGCTCAGTTCTCTCGTGTGTTTGATTAAAAATATTTCTGTTGCTGAATTATTAACATAAATATGATTTCTGTGTAAATAAAATGTTTTGGCAGCTAAAGCAAAGTTGAATAAATGTTTCTGAATAAGTTGTAGCACTGAACGTCAGTGTCTCCCCTTGTAGGTGTACACTGTGAGGTGGACATCGACGAGTGTGACAGCAGTCCCTGCCAGAATGGTGCCACGTGCGAAGATGCTGCCAACTCCTATTGGTGTCACTGCTCTGTGCCAGAGCCAGGCCAGGAGCCCTGGGGTGGGCGAGACTGTGACGTCAGGCTGGTTGGCTGCCAGCAGCACCAGTGTCAGCATGAAGCAGATTGTGTTCCCATCCTAACAGACTATGGCGTACACAGTTACACCTGCCTGTGTCCGCCTGGCTGGACTGGAGAACGCTGCAACACCTCCACCACCTTCTCCTTCAACTCTGAGGGCTACGTCCACATGCAGCTGCCTGTTCTGAAGAACAGGACAAAGCAACAGATGGATGAATACAACCAGGGGCTTCACATGCAGCTTCGATTCAGGAGCACTCTGCCTAACATGGTGCTGTACTATCGGGGCACCCTGGAGCGCTTTATCTCCCTGGAGCTTGCTGAGGGCTCCCTCCAGGCCAAGGTGAAATCAGGGAAGGTTTTACAGGCCATTTACCCCGGCCGAGTCAATGATGGAGAATGGCACCAGGTCACTGTGACCATGGATGAGAGACTGGTTCTGACTGTAAAAGGACATGGCTGTGATCAGGGTTGCCAGGTGAAAAATGAGGGTCACAATCATCTAATCTTTCTTCAACCCAGCTCCTTTCAACAGCTGTATGTAGGAGGGGCACCACAGGAATATTTGGCCAACTTGTCCAGTAGAAAGGGCTTCCTTGGCTGTATGGAAGACCTTCAGGTTGACCATAAGCTGCTGCTGCCTCAGGATCTCATCAGAGAGGAGAATACGGGCTTGGAACTGGGATGTACCAAAAAAGACTGGTGTCAGGATGACCCATGCATGCAGCATGGACAGTGTATGGACATGTGGATTCATGCCAGCTGTTACTGTCATCGACCCTACTACGGACAACACTGTGAAAAAGGTAACAGTACCGCATGTGTATTTTTTTTTTTTGTTTTCTTTTGCAATGATAATTGTCATTATGAACTTACTTAAATTACTTTGCACCTATAGAGTACGTAAAATTTTCTTGGAGTTACTCCGGCAATATAAGAATCCAATATATACACAATAACTGCTTTCTCAGTTCATGGAAATATTTTGCTACAAACACGTATCCTAAGTGGTGTTCTTGTTTTTTCAGTGAGGATGTGATGAAATAAATATATGATTGAAATCTGAACTTCCTCGTAAAGAGCACCCAATGAATATGAATATTATACCTGGATAAAGCTGAATGTATCACAGTCTAAACTTCTTTACACCCTCCACTCTGTACTGGAGTTAGTGCTTACAGTTGTTTGGACTGCTACTATTAAAACAAACAAAAGCTATAAAAGGACTTCTTAATGATTAAGGCAATTTTGAGGATGTAAAAACAGTGCATGCTTATCATTTTCTCTAGAGGCTCAAGCAGTTCTCAATTCAACTTTTATAAACAATAAATGATTGCTACCAAAACCTAAAATTACACAAAGAAAAATAAAGAAAGAATGGTAAAGGCCAGACAGATTTACTTTGCTTATACCTTTCAACAATATAAAAATTTAAAGTGCTTCACATACGATGTAAAATAGCAGCAGTGACAAAGATACTCATACTTTTGAATGAGAAAAAGGAGAGCTTCAATAATCCAGAGAAATGTGTCTTGTTCATTTTAAAGATCAAGTTTGAATTTTAATACCTTTCTTGAGTAATGTTAAATTTCACTCCTCATTAAAAGCCACACAAGAAATTATAGAACTGCCTCACAGGTGTCCACTTGAGTATATCTTATTTGAGATGTATCTGTATCATGTCCCAGTATGTTGGAATTAAACATTTACAACTTTGTCCTTCCAAACCCACCTCAGAGTTCCCATCCTGGACACTCGGCCATGAGAACACGACCAGCTATTCTGCCTTCAACATCTCTGAAACCCATGGAGACAACTTTACTATTTCCTTCTTAATACGCTCCCTTAAACATAACGGCCTGCTCCTGCAGTTCTGCCGAGAAGAAAAGCCCTACCTGACCATCTATCTAAAGGAAGGCACTGTTGCTATCTACAGCCCTCACACCACACTATTGACAGAAGCCAATTTAGTCACTGATGGGAATAACAACTTGGTGACTTTAAAGGTTAACTATGGCCATGTGGTCTTCCCCAAAGCAGGGAATCATCGAGCCTTAGGGAACGTGAGTATAGAGGCCGGGGATGTAGTGTATGTTGGAGGGCTGCCTGCAGGCAAGAATATGAACGCATGGGGTGGAAACTTCAAGGGCTGCTTGCAGGACATTCGACTGGACCACAAGCATCTGGCCACTGAGGATTACCCAGAGGGGGAAGAGACTTACCAAGCAAGCATAGAAGAGAACATGCTGTTGGGATGCAAAAGTGATAACACATGCAAGGTAAAAAGAAATATTTTATACAATCAGCTGCATGATCATTACTTTAACTACAGTACATGCAAAAATGAGTTGAGCTGCATCTCTGACTAGATCTTGTGAAAGGTAGAAATAGGCTTAACCTATACAGTGTATATAAAGTTGCTCCTTTCGAACATTGATCATGACCAATCTAATTATATTCATGATTATAATTATAGCATTGACTTGTGTGGATAGGTATCAATCAGCCTTGCACATCTGCACAATGCAATTTTAGCCCATTCATCTTTGCAAAATTGTCTTAAACTCTGTCAGGTTACATGGGGATTGTGAAAGAACAGCTCTTTTTAAGTCCAGCTACAAATTTTCAGTTGGTTTGAGATCATGATGCTACCACCACCATGCTGCATCTATGGAAATTTCAAACATAATTTGGGCCAAGGTCCTTTTAATCCCAGAAATCTAGGAAACATCAAGTATTTGCACTACAATCGTATCTGTTGTCCATATAATTACAAATACTGCTTCTCAAGACAGTAACAACATCATTGCTGTCTTGGCAATCATTTGTTTCAACAAAATTGGATGAAGAACTCTGATTTAATCACATTGGCTGAAGAAGATACTTGGGCAATAGGACATTTCTGACATGAAAGTTTTGGGTTTTGTAAAGCTAATAGAGACAGAGTTGATCTATTTGTATGTGGAAGCCATATGATGTGTTACATTGGAAATAATTATGTATTAATCAGTTGCACAATAGGGTGGAGTCCCCATTGTTGGGCAAATGCTTCCCATTGGTTTTTACTATTACATGTAATCAACTAAATCAATCCACCATTCATCAGTTTAGACATTTTCTATACAGCACACAAGTCTGGCTACACCTCATTATCATTCTGCTATAAGCGAATTTGGTCTTTTGCATAAGAGTTTTCCTGTTGTGAATTATGTGTTAGACAAGTTGAAGATGGCATGTTGATAGATATAAAGATGCCATGGTTACTTGAGTTCATCCACAATACTATTTACAATTAAATTACAGCCCATTCAGTACTTTTGAATAGAAATTTCTGTCTGGTGCAAAGAGATGGACTAACACTTTATCCAACTAATACTTGTTCAGAGCAACTATAACCATGTCATGGATGGTCATTAGATAGAATGCATTGCCAATTCTGTCTTGCTAACATTCAGTTTTAAAGAAAAGCCTCAAGTAAACTGTTACGTTTCGCCAGTGTATGGCTCTAACACTGAACCCATGCTAATTGCAGAACCATCTGATAGCCCGGCTGTTTTGCCTCAACCCTATTAACATTGATCTGGTTGTTAGTCTCTTTGATCTGTAAGTTAGTGCTCAATCCTCTCTGTAGTTTTTACCTCTGCGGTCGAATCAGGTGAGAGACTTTGCAAGTAATCGTCTAATCCGTTTGTGTTTGTCTGTGGCCAGGATGAGCCCTGTTTCAATGGTGGACAGTGTCAGGTCACCTGGAATGACTTCAGGTGTGACTGCTCCATTAACTACTCAGGTCGGCTGTGTGAGACACGTTTGTGGTGCATCGACAAGCCTTGTTTTGACGGAGTGCGCTGTATGGATCTACAGGATGGTTATGAGTGTGAGTAATCCCTTCGCAGTGATTATCACTCTCTTCACCAAGGCAGGGCATGTCAAGTCAGGCCAGGTCAACTGTACTTGTTTACCTCTTAATTAGACTTAAAGTTCTGCCAACCATAGACCCTTGGTGACATCAAAGGAAACACTCCCTAGTACAGGAGAGACTCCCTAATGTCAAGAGTCCTGCAATAGGTGCTGAGAAGAAAGACTTTGCTAATACTAGCACAACAATTATAGAGCTGATGGTAGCTGCTTTATTTGTAGAGCAGTACTGGGATCATGAATCAGTCCAGTATATGTGCAGTGCAATGCTGCAATAAAAGGGCCTATTCAGCAATTTCATACTGAACTAATAAAATTGTTAATATTGTAGAAGGAGAAAGAGCTTTTTACATTTTGTGTTCCAGTTTCAGTGTTTTCATTAAAAATGATTTGTATTTTACTGAACACAGAGATACATGGCTGTCCACACAGCCCTCCCAACCTGAATCTGGTTCTGTTGGAGGTTTCCTCCTACTGTTCAGGGCGGACTTGTTGGGTTTTTGTCATGAGCCTTACATGACATATGTCAAGTTTTGATGTTATATGAATAAAAATCCATTGAAGTGAACTGAAGCCCTACCAACCTTATAGGTTGTGCATTGTCGATATCCATTTAAAATTTTTTGTTGTTTCTGAAAAATTAGGTTTTTTCCATCATTCAGGTCTAAATGCTACAATACCCATGAACCTCAGATGCCTTTCAAGAAAATGCCTATCAAATCTGACAGAAATTACTTAAACTGCAGAGTGTGTTTACAGTTTATATAACACAATTTTAAGGTCATTAATTCAGTAATCTTAACAGAAATGCACTGTGGGATTTAATTAAGGAGAATAAAGTTTAAATTTCTATGTACACAAGCTTGTACTTTCAATGTTTTTTCTTATCAAAGAAAACAGAGGTAATAATCAATAGAACTGATAGATTAACTTGGAGAGTTTCATACTGATAGGATCTGTAGAAGAGCTCCAACTGTAACATTTTCTGTGGTAAAAATTTATGAGCTCTATACTTCTTGAACCAGCTGCTCCAAGAACTGCTACTCCCACTTTATAACTCAATAGCTGAGACAGTTAGGAACATAATTCTTTCTCTCTTTTGCTGGAATAAATCACAAGTTAAACTATGAGATGATTAGAAAGATGATGGCCCTAGACAAAACAAGACAGGGAATTCCTAAAGTTATTGCAATTCATCTTCAGGGGGTTAGGAAAAATGGGTGCCATCTAAACTATACTCTGAGAATGTCCAGACATTTAATTCAAAGAAAGGAATGCCAGTGTAATACTTATGACAGAATAGGATTGGTAAAGTTTGTAGACTTCCTCATTTGGGGACCATAACGTTTGTACAAAATTGCATTGCAATTCATCCAATAGTTCTTGACATAGTTTAGTCCAGACCAAAGTGGCAGACTGAAACACCAGCGCTGCCATCCATAAACTCCATAAGCGGAGAAAAACTGATAAAATGAAAGCAGCAATGGCCATAGTTTTCTGGACTTTTAGTCTCTTGAATACTTTAAATCCAGAACTGCCAGTGAGATCATCAGGGATAGTCAGGGAAAACCTTATAATATTATATTCTGGAGAGAAACCTAACAAATCCAATGATTCCAAGTAGCAACAGGGTTCTTTGCACAGAGACAAGGATAGTACTGTGAAAACAGACAATGTATAATAGAACAAAAATCAATGAGAAGGTAATGCAGTCAAAACAGTAATCCAAAGAACAGTATTTCAAGGCAAAACGTGAACTTACTTCTAACTGACATACAATAGTTTGTTAGTTTCAGCAACCTTGCTCACATAATCTTGTCTTTCCACAGGTTTAACTGAAGCCATTTTTCAGGACAACTCTCTTCAGTATGTTGCCAACAGCTCCCTTATGATTCCTGTAACCAGCATCACCATGGACATACGAACGCGTGATGAGAATGGGATTTTGTTGCGGGCCGAGAGCAGAGCTGAGGTCTTCTGCCTGGGTCTGCTCAACTCTAGTCTGCTGGTCAAACTGGACAGTGGAGCTGGTGCAGAGCTTCTGGCCTTCACAAGTGACAGGACCATCGCCGATGGGGCGTGGCACCACATCCAACTCACCATGGCGGACCCTACACAGCTAGTGTCCCGCTGGCGCCTCACAATAGATGGGCAGAGAGCTGGCGGCAGCTTTGGAGTTAGTGGCAACCTCAACTTCCTCAATGACACTAACATCTGGCTTGCAGAAAAATACACTGGATGTTTAGGGGAGGTGAGAGTGGGTGGTGTCTACCTGCCACTCATAAACGTACAAGTTGCACCTCAGATGAGCCGGTTCTCCAGACTGGGTGGACACGAGCCAATCATAGGATGCCAAGGTGCACCAATTTGTGATTCCCAACCTTGTCTCAACCAGGGCCAGTGTCAGGACCAGTTTAATGAGTTTAACTGCAGCTGCAGCTCTGGCTGGGAGGGGGAGCTATGTGAAACAGAGATAAATGAGTGTTCTTCAGCTCCCTGTGTCTATGGTACATGTAAAGACCTCTTGGCTGACTACCAGTGTGACTGCGAACCTGGATACACAGGGAAAGACTGCAAGGATGAGGTGGACAACTGCCTGGAATTCAGCTGTGTGAACGGAGGAGTCTGTTTGGAAACGTTGGGAACTCACACATGTTCATGTCCTCCTGGCTACATCGGCAAGCGCTGCCAGTGAGTACACACCTTCTCTCTGCAGCACATTTTTTCACATCACATGCCACCAGGTCAGGATAGTGCTTTGATATGGAGTTGCCTAAAATGACATTTTCTAACATCAGCTTCGCCCTGTGAATCAACTTCCCAACCCTTCTATTGCTTTCTTCAGAGTTACCTCTTTTTCTTTCAATGAACCAATTTAAAATCACAGGAGTAACAGAAGTCAAAAACAGCTGTGTCATAAGATGTTTAGTTTCTACAGAAACATTTCTTATGCCAACGTTTATGGGGACACACTGAAAACAGTTCTATAATGTCTTGTCTAGATTTGTAGTAGCATCTCATTTTAACAAAAACAGTTTAGGAAATAAATTCTAATTACTTCTCAGCAAGGTTCAGCTTGATCTTAGAGAGGACTACTTTTTAATTAAAATTCTGTACAGCAAACTGAAAGTGTGGAATTTGAGAGATGGCATGTACCAGACAAGTTGTGGAAGAACCTGAGTTTGACCATAACCAGCATGACTGATGATTGTTACAGGTTCTAGTGTATGCCTGTACATCACTGCAGCAAAGTGAGAGATAAAACCAGGGGAGGTTAGCAAAAAAAAAAAAAGATTTCCAATGGGATACTTCCAAAATAATACAAACAGTAGAGATGAAAGGGTACTGCCTACTTGTACTAAGTGCAAGTACAATGTTTTCTCAGTGGCTGTGCTCCAGAAGTTTATGCTTACAGCTCACCTGTGTTTTCCTATCCTGTCTGATTTTTGTAAGAATATGCAAGAGCATTTCACTTATCAAAATTAGTATGACTGCACCATTACCAAAGATAAAACAGGACTGTAGTATTGGACAAATATATGATCTAATCCTAAGTGCTTCAGTAGAAGGCAAGTGGACTTTTCTTTATGGTTCTTGAAGACCTTTTCGCTCTCATACAAGAAACTGCCTCAGTGGAGAGAGTTACGATGTCTTCACTGCCAACCAGTCAACATGCGTTCATGTTCTTGCCATGGACTTTATGACTGACAATCTACAACGATAGATGATCTAATTTTCAGCTTCAGTACCGGGAAGTAAATGTCAGGGTGTCACTTTAAGGCGTCAATCTGTTAAATCAGTCTTTTACAATTAAAACAGTTTTACTGCAACTTAAAACCAGCTTCGTGATAACACCAGCCTTGTTTCTGATTCCTTTACAAGCAATCAGAAAACCTACTTATGAAACATAAATGTAACTGGATAATAAATAAGAGTAGCAGCTACAGCAGCATACAAACAATTAGTAAAACTTTTTCATTCTAGAAAAATTATCTTTACATTAAACTAACAATTGACCTTTAAGAAGGGAGCACTTGATTTGATGTAGCACAAAGGCTCATTTCTTAACGCAAATTTTTAAATTATACCTTCTGTGTAGTCCTTAATGTTATCTATTTTTCACAGCTGACTATGGTAACAGCTCCAGTTCACCTCGTTGTAAAAGTATAAAATACAACTGAAACAATTCAATTCATTGGTTGGTCAAAGAAATATAATTGGCAAGACATCACCTTGGGCTCACATGCTAAATGTTGGTTATTTTTCACATTTTGCAATGAATCCATTCAAAAACTAAGTAGCAGATTAGCTGATGATGAAAATGATCATTAGCTGCAGCCGTGCTGTAGAATCATACATTGTAGATTGTAACAGAAAGTGTTTTTGTTTGTCTTTTAGGTGGCGTTTCCCTCCAGTCTCATGTGATGCAAACACAAAATGTCTTAATGGAGGGGTTTGTATAGGAGCTGACTCTGGAGGCAACTGCACTTGCAAGCCAGGATACACAGGTGCCAGGTGAGAGCAGCCCTCTGCACATTCCTCGTCACTCACCTGCTGTGAAGTGTGTCTGAACCACATCCAAGTGATAAGGTCAGAGGTGCATGTGAGCTACTGCTCTGTCAGTTGGCGTTGTGTTAAAACCCTCCTGATATGTTTCAGGTGTGAGACGGAAATAGACGAGTGTGAGTCCAATCCTTGTCTCAACGGTGCCACCTGTCTGGACAGACTTAACCACTTTCAGTGTTTGTGTGTGCCGGGATTCAGCGGAATGCTGTGTGAGAGCAATGTAAGTAACAGACAGATGTTTTCCCGAACATTGGCTATGTGTCCCTTCAGCTGTCACAGAAACTATGGTCTAAAATGACCTATAACATAGACAGATTTGGTTCAAAGCACAGGGGGTGGCAGAATGAGACACATAGTCATTTTGAGTCTCTTCAAAATGTATTCAGATAACTAGACTTACAGTTTATTGTGTTGTAGATTTAATTTAGTATGGGTCAGGGAGGAAGGAGGCCAGAGGGATAAGTCAGCAGCAGGACCAAGGACCCCTTCACCCAGAAGGCACAAAGAAAATAAGTTTTAGCTGCAGTTTTAAACAGCCCGGGGATTTAGGGGTGGATATACTCAAGGGGTCAAGATACTCGACAAACCAAGCAACCCTAACCCAAACAACCTAGTAAGCAAAATTAAATAGATCATCCACCTATCTATCTATTGTGTGTGTGCATGGTGTATACATATCATAACATATTATGTATGTATAATATTCTGTGTGCTTCCAGAAAGAGGAGCATAAGGAGCGAATTCCCTGGCTGGCAGTGACCATCCCGCTGACCACGCTGTGTGTCTTACTGGTCATCCTGGTGGTGTTTTTCCTCATCATGACAGCACGAAAGAAGCGTCAGTCAGAAGGCACATATAGCCCCAGTTCACAGGAGGTGGCTGGTGCAAGGCTGGAAATGGGCAGTGTCCTCAAAGTGCCCCCAGAGGAGAGGCTGATCTGAGGCCTGATGCCTCACCTCACAGATTTGCATCCAAAGGATGTACAAATAAGGGCGGAAAGAACATATACTTTGCAGTATCATACTGCTTTGGTCTTCCTCCCTACTGAAAAGATATCGAGGATAAAACAATGACAGATCCTCTGCCTGGAAAAACTACTGACGTTGGAGGCTCGGAGGTGGGCAGGTAAAGACCAGAGGGTGAGAGAGGCTGTCTCCTGATTATTCAAACTATCCTGCTGGCTAGAGTGTGGTCAAAAGATGTTTTGGTCCTAAAAATCCCTCTGAGAAGTTGAGTTCAGGACATAGTCTCAAGCTTGATTTTGAAACTGAAATGCTCTGATGGCCTCAATACAGTAAGGGGGAATAGTTCATCACTTATGGTTTAACAAAGCAAGAACTTCAACTGCAAATTTCAACAATGATTCTCTTTTTGCACAATAAAAAAAGAGGAATGTGTATGTGTACCACATCCTAATAAATTGCAGAACATGTCAGTGGAGTCCTTTCTTCACCAACATGCGCCTTGTAGTAATATCCCTGACATATATATGGGCATGTTTGGTTAATAGTGACATTTTTAGGAAGCAGATCCTATTTTCAACCATGGCTTCCTCAGTGATAGATTCCTTGGTAATGCAAATCCTGCATGACTCCAACTCGATTGCCATAATATATTTTACCACTTTAATTGTGATTTTAGTGGTTTGTCTAAAGGAATGTATTTTTTGACTAAAACCTCATTTTTTTTTCTTTGCTGAATCAGATATGTTGCATTTCTACCATGTTCACTTGTTTTAATATTTGTAATGTCATACTTGACCCATAGGGAAAAAGCATTCTAAAGCTGAAGGCAGTATTATTCCGTCATAAGTCTGCAGGTTCTCATTAATCCAAAGACGCCACCAGCTTCTCTCACTCCTTGTCTAAGCAGGCTTTGATGTGACTTTAATCATTCAAACTGTTTGTCGTTGAATGTGATTACCGGACCCTCAATTGAATAAGTTAATGGATGTTACTGCAGCCTCTGCAGGAGTCGAAAACTGCTGTAGTATATGTCAGTGTCCACTGTATGACTCAACAGGTTCATCACTGTTTAATTACACTGTGAGTGTTTTATCCATGTCTTTGTGTTGTATGTAATCTGCTGAGCTGTATTTGTAAGTCACTGTATTTCTTTTTTTGTAAAGTTTTCAGGAGGTACAGTATTTAATTGTAGAAATGTTATTGCTGTGGTCTAAGTTAGTCACATCAGTATTTGTGGACATAAATGACTTCCAGTGTCAGACAGAAAAATGTGAAAAGGAGAGATATTGATTTTGCGGGAAAAAAGTCTGAGTTGTAGCAAATGTAATAGAATGATGCAGCATTTCTCAAAACATACAGTTGTAAACAATAGTCTACGTACACTTGTAAAGACCATGTATATCATGGCAGTCTTGAGTTTCCACTCCTATAACTTCAAATTTTCTATGATTGAATGATTGAAGCACACGTGTCTTTGACACAAGACAACAGTCATGCACTTTGGTTCTTTCATAGATTTATTATAGGTCTTCTGGAAATGTGAAAAAATCTGCTGGGTTGAAAATATACATACAGCAACTTGAATTATCAGTTTTGGTGACGTAGAAAGCTGATAATCAATTATAAGCATTGTTGTATTTATATTTTTGACCCAACAGATTTTGAGAGACTGCCATGATGTACGTGGTCTTTACAAGTGCAAGTAAACTTTTGTTTATGACTGTACTTATTTGCTCTCTTTTCAAGACTGACGCAGAACTTGTTATAACCCTAGCTCAGCATAAAGACCAGGGGGAAACAGCTAGCCTGGCTCTGTCCAGAGGCAAAAAATATACCTGACATTCATACGCATAATTGTTTACTCCAACCAAACAGTGAGATTAATCATCTCATCTCACTCTGGGACAGAAACCAGACAGTTGTATTCACAGGATATTTAAGGTTTTATATCAATAAATCAGTCAGGTTATAATCTTAGTTGTGGAGATGTTCAGACAAACCTCAGCTCTGGCTGCAGGAAAGTGTTCCACAAATACTGATCAGGTTGACTTTGACATTAAGAATAATGTAAATAATTCTTCATTTGAATCAAAGAATTCTAAGCAAGTCTGTTGCCACTGTACTCATATCTGTACTCCAGAAAGTCCAACCACTCACCTGCCTTTCACTCTGTACTCACCAGTGCTGCTAAGTTTTCAGAACCACTCAACCAGAATGCTTTAACAGTTAATGAAAGGTGCTGATCTGATGCACTGTTAGTGAAAGACAGAAAGCCCTTTGCAAAAGGGAAGCAACATGCAAGCCACAGCTGAATATGAGTAAGAACAACACTGGTCAATATTTTTGAATGTATGTCATTTTAAAGGGGTCATAAGTAGGATTTTGATGTTACATGCAGCCAACTGTTGAGCTGGTACTAATGACTCAGTTATGACTTTCTGGTTGAAGTTTACTTTGACTTTACTTCAGTTACCTCATCACATGTTGCAAAGTAAGAAACCTGGCCAGAATCTGGGAAACTCATAACTCAAAATCAAAGACCTCACTAATGGTCTTGTGGGTAAAAGGAGAAAATCCTTGCAGCTCGGCTACAACAAAATCCGGTAAAAATTCCAAATAGTGGAAACTATCCAAACAATGTTTGGTATGTTTTATGAACATTTAAAGAGTAAAAAAAAAAATATAGAAACTTCACATTTCCTCATCTTTTGGTGTCAGATCTGTTTGGGGGTCTGGGCCCCTTTGGCATCCAGTGACATTTTCCCTATTTTACTTTGTGCTTATGACAGAGCACAATATGGAGGTAATTTAGACCTTGATACATAAGGGTATGACTCAAGCCTTGATGTATATATGATGAAAAATAACTGAGTTATTTATTATTTGCCATTAATTGTGAAATAGTAGATGAAGCTTTTATTTACATCAGAGAATTCTGCCCAAATTTAGTTTTAGATTACAGACAGGCTTTTATTTTTAATTTCAGCGGTTCCCCAGTTCATAGAAAGTCTAAAACTTCTCCATTTTCAGAATTTTTTCAACAGAACAAAGTTAAACTACCATTAATAAAACTCCACATGTCACCAATAATTTTCACATTGCATGTCTTGCAGCTATCCCTTTATGGGTCAGCCTTTAATTAAAAAAAACAAACAAAACAAAAACAAAAAACAACAAATAAACATCAAAAAGTCGTTAATTTTCTGAATGGTCACTCGGCATTAATCAGGAGTTAGAAAAGAAGAAATGACTGAAAGTAGAAAATAATCAAAACAAAAACAAACAAACAAAAAACACTCAGCAGCAGAGTGGTGATGATGTCATAACTGTATCTCTGTGCTAATGGACGTGATGCTGTGATTCTTTTTGGTTATTATTAATAAGGCTATTGCCTTTTCTCTAAGCTGCCCACTTCCAGCTTGCATTTGCTGATGTCCTTCAGTGTGGCTACCTGTCAGAAATCGCAAAATGCCCCTTTAAAATGACTGCAAGGAATGTACAGGTATGTGCATGATGCAGTGCTAGTATGTGCCTTCATGTTCTTCTGCATCCATAGCAACCAAGAATCCTGTGATGTTATTTATTCTAGCTCAGGTGTATTAAAACCTTTGTGCAGGCTGCGCAGGACAGGCCACTGTCAGGCAAAATGTATCTCTGCTCAAACATTCACATGTTTAAAAATGTTACAATATAATACCAGCATACAGTATTATACAGTTCTGTGGCTAAATATATACAGAGCACAAAATCCTGGCTAGGTACAGAATTGTAGTGATTTTACACTGGAGTTGTTTTTAATGAATCTGTACCATGTACAGTCCACTGTAGGTCAGTACATGATGAGTTCTATTCCAAAACATTACATGGTCACTTCAGCAAATGTGAATAGTTCCCTGGAGCTGTTGAGTAACATTCAGTTTGTGAATAATATTCACGAGTCGAACTCACTAGCACTGTGAAATTGCTGTTTTTGGGGTGCCAGTGATTTCAGAAATCTAATTTTGGAATAAAATTCTTCAGTAGTACTGAGTACACTTGTCTATATGAGGAAAATATTATTTGTGGTTGAAGTAAGGCGTATACTTTCAATCCATGTTGATAGTTACGTTGTATGTTTGTGTATATAGGGGAAATGGTCCATAAGGTGGAATCAAAGTTGTGGATATTAAATGTGTCTTAATGTCTTAAATGTGTCCAAGTGAAAATAAACAATGAAATGAATAACAGATTATAATTTTCTTGTTTTTCATAGGTCAAAAAAAATGTTTCATTTGCTTGTTGCTTTTCTGGTAGATTTTCAAACTTTTTCCCTGCTTAGTTCCATTGTTTAAATAAATAATAACATCTTGTTTAACCATAAAGAGCACAACAAATCTGATGATTTCCAGTCGAAGAGTATGTTGCTTGGTTGATGCAGTGACACATTATTTCTTGCTGGTTACCAAACAAACTCCCCATCATCTCTGAAAAAGTAAGTGGAAGTAAGTACTGAAGAAACTCATCTGGATACTTAAAGCTAAATGTAACCCAAAGAAAATAAATTGTTTCGTTTTAAAATAGTGGAGCCTGCTGAATATATACATATTGCTCATGCATCTCTAACATGACATGCATTTACTATAAACATAAAGGGTGCAAGAAATTAAACGTCTAGAGGGAGGGAATAACGAAATAAGATCATACAAACATGCACACACTAAGGACTGCTGCACTCAGCACAGTGTCTAATTTCCCAATAAAAACATGAGTATGGAAGCAAATCAGGCTCATCCGATTTTGAATTCTAAAAGCTGTTGAATTTCTAGCTTTGAATTGAAAAAAAGAGATGTTTTTTTTTACGGTGAATTTTGAACCCTGTCGAATTTGACTTGTCGAGTTTGAGCACCTTCGAATTTTCATGGCTTTGAATTTTTACTCCTGAAATTTTGACTTATTAAAATTTAGATGGGCTAAATTCAGACAAAATAATTCACATACACAATTTCGATGGCAACAAAATTCTAAGTTAGAAATTCAATAGCTTTTAAATTCAAAATCGGATGAGCCTGATTTGCTTCCATACATGAGTAATAATAGTGTGCTGACAATGACTACATGTTGTTTTAGGCTGGAAAAAAGAAGTAAATCTGTCTTTATAGACAGCAGGCCTTTCTCTCTTGGGACGAGAAAATCTCCATATATCAAAAACAGAGCAAATATATGGTTGAACAACGGTGTTTAGGATTTGGCTAAACAGCGTTGTTTGAAGTGAAGTATGATGCTTCAGCAACAAAAAATAAATAAAAATGGATGACTGCACTTCAAAAAAAACAACATTCAGAAAACAAAGAGGAAAAACACAAATTCGATGAACTGCAGAACCCTCTCCACCCTCTCACCCTTCCAGCCTCGGTCCCTCCCTGCCTCCCTCCCTCCCTCCTCTCTTTGAAGCTATGTTAGTGCATTCCTTTGTGTCTCTGAGCAACTCCCACCCAGGGTGGCTGCCAGCTTGGTCAGTGATTTCCTCCTAATGATGGCAAGTGAAGCAGGACACGTCCCTCCTCTTTTTCTTCCTCCTCCCTAATCTCACAGTGTGGGGGTGGAGAATCTAGGAATGCTGGCATGAAATCCTGAAATGACCATACTATTCTAAAAGAAGAACTAAAGAAACACATATCGACCTTATTAGTCAGACTCCATGCAAATGCTCTGTTTTCACTGAAATATCAGAAATGTGAACTTTTACTGTTGTGAAGATAAGTGACCCTATTACTCAGGTTTGCACAAAAAAAGAAAGAATTTTTTTTTTTTACAAATTCTAACAATATTGTTTAATATATGTTCAACCTCACGAATACAAGTTTTTGAGTTGATTACGCATAAATATTAAACTGGTCCAACTAGTATTCCCATGGTATTTAAAAGGATTAATAAAATAAAATAAGTAACATTAAATGGGAAGGAAAGGGGACTTGAAATTCTGACCTAATGGTGAATAAAAACTAAGTTATCAAGCCAAATTCATTAGGTTCCCTCAACTTGAATTTAGTTTAACAATCAACTAACACAGAGGTTTGAGTTTGAATTACACACAATATTATGTTGATGCAATTACTGACATTATAACCCGACCCATTATCATAATGTTTGCAACCTATAAGTTTATAATTTTTATCTTTCAAACATGCATTTAATTAAGTGGTGGCAATAGGTCCCCTTCTCTTTTTTCTACAATTTAATTTAGCAGACACTTTTATCCAGAGCGACGCAAATCTGAGAGCGGATACAACACAAGCAAGGATCTAGTCAGGAGAAAACAATCTAGATAAGTGCCATAGAACAAGTTCAAGTGTGATATGGCGTTGATACCAATAGCAGGCTGTGTGGGGTGTAATTTTTTTGTTTGTTTTTTTGTTTGTTTGTTTTCAGTCTGTCAAGTGCAAAGGTGTTCATTTAAGAGCTGGTCTTTAGTCTTTTCTTAAAGACTAAGAGGGAATCAACACATTGAACAGAGTTTGGTAATTCGGTTGTGGTGGTTGGATCAGGAGGTTTTTGTTGATCGAGCGTAGTGAGTGGGAGGGAGTGTAGACCCGAATGAGAGAGTTCAGGTAAGAGGGAGCTGTTCTCATTGTTTCGTAAGCAAGTGTCAGAGTTTTGAATTTGATGTGGGCAGCAACTGGAAGCAAGTCAAGCGATCTGAACAGTGGGGTGACATGAGCTGTTTTTGGCTGGTTGAAACTGCACCAAGTGAGGTTGTGTAAATTGAGAAGAGAAGGGGAACGAGCACTGACCCTTGAGGAACCCCTGTGGATAGGTTGAGCGGTTTGGACACTTCTCCCCTCCAGGATACTCTGAAGTATCTTCCTGAGATGTAGGATGTAAACAAGCAGAGGGCAGATCCTAAGATGCCCAGCTCAGTGAGTGTGGAGAGGAGGATGTGGTGGTTAGCCATGTCAGTGGCAGCTGACAGATCTAACAGCAATAGAGCTGAAGACTGAGAATCTTCACAGACATCAGGATTGGATGAAAACAATTTCAGCTGTCCACCTGCATCTCAAGGACAAAGGACACTCATTCGAAGACAATAGCATACAGATTTTGGCCAGGGAGGACAGATGGTTTGAGAGAGGGGTGAAAGAAGCCATCTGTGTCAAACTGAAGAGACCATCCCTCAACAGAGGTGGAGGTCTGAGGCATCATCTCACACCTGTTTACAATTCAGTCCTAAGATCTCTCCCCAGGAAGATAAGACTGCATTCACACCCAGCCACAAAAGACCCTAACGGACCCCCTTTGTGGCAGGGGGAGCAGTAACGACTCACATAACGAGGGGGAGGGTAACAACCCCCCAATTGAAACCAAAACTCAGGTGTTAATGGCTCCTTAGGATGTAAGTATCTGGATCTCCCAACTAGTCAGTCATAACTGATGAAGCCTCTTGGATGAGAGGGGAAACGTCTTCAATGAACTCAAGCAAGTCCAGTTGCTACGATCAATCTGCCAGAATCCAATCCTGACATCTCAAGGCCTGAGACTACATATGTTGGTGCAAACTTCTCATGACTCATTGTTTTTAGTAAGATGTTTGATTTTCTTCCTTTGAGGTTTAGCTGAGACGTGAGGCATTCTGTGCTGCCTTGGTCTATGAATACACCTCTATGAGCTTTTGACCTTTACCAGCTTTTAATTTTACAAGTACCACTGACAGTACATTGCCGGCCCCCATACTGGCCCCAATGTGCCCACATGCTTTGGGACGCAGTATCATGGTTTTCATAGAGGAGTGTAATATTTCTTCTACCGCTAACGAATACCTACAATAGGAAAATTTATCAAAATGTCCTCTAAAGGACGACAAACTAAATTTACAGATTAACAAACAAACTTACCGCGATGAATACAAACCTAATACTAATACTACTAACTGAGTAGACGAGAGACTGGGAAAACTACAATACTGAATGCTTGGATTGGGGAGAAGGAGGAGATGGAGGTGGACCAGATGACTTCAATGGAGGGACACAGAGGATATGGAGAGCTGGAGTCAGAAGAATCCAACAGTGTGGAGTCAGGGATGAATGGTGGATCTCAAAGGCAGCGAGCGTGGCAAAACTGGAGCACAGGAGAATAATGTCAGAAGCAGAATCAAAGATAACAAGCAGAGAATACAAGCGAGCACAAAACTAACGTGGGTTTTACTACGATCCGGCGCTGACTTGTGGCTTGCTGGCGTCTTATATGGTGAATACAGGTCTGAGGAGTGAATGGCAAGCCAAGCCACGCCTCGCCACAGCTGGAGCAGTCGGCTGATTGCAAACTCACAGCACCTGGTCCCCCGTCACTCCGGCATGTAGCACAAAACAGAAGCAAAACCAAATATGCTCCACGAGGTGGAGCCAAAGGCGGAGGTCATGTCAGACCTTTTGTTTTTTTTTGTTTTTTTTAAGTTCACTTTATCTCTGTGTGTCTTTTCCTGGAATGCAGTACAGTGCTCCAAAGTGTGGTTGCTACTTTACAGGCCGCAAGAGAGAAGAAAGTTAATGCTCCTGATGTTTTCAACAGGTGAAGAGATAGCAGTCGAGACACTGGTTGCAAAGCTGCTTCCATCAGACTTGGGCTTCGTTTTAGTGGACAACTTCTCTTTACCTCTAGGGGGCTTGTCTTGAATATCACCATACACTGGGTCAGATACTATTCTCATGTGCTTCTCTAAAAACTCAATAAGATCTGTAAATCAGGGTCGACTGTTTCACCTCTCCTCGAATTTACACACACATGTGATCTCCACCTTTCTCTCAGCTTGTAAGGAAGTTTCATGGTCAAGTTTTTCATGTTTGATGATA